TTGAAATAGGCCTATAGTTAGTTATGTTGCTTGGGTCCAGTTGCGGGTTCTTAATGGATGTTGGCGTGAACGACACCTGGCCAAGCCGCACCCTCAGTGCGCTGGGCCTGGACAGAGAAACACAAGGGGGTTAAGGTAGAGGGAGTAATGTGGTTGTATCTTCCACTTACCTTAGATGATGAGGCGGCCTTAGCGTTAGGTACAACAAGCAGAGCTCGTTGTTACCGCAGCCGCATTTTAAATATACTAATCTATTCATTAATTTAAAGTTCCAGACATACTCTGCAGAGTGAAGAAGAGCCAGTGGATATGACACTGGAGGATGTGGATACAGAGGTAGCAGACCTGAGTAGACAATACAGTCCCCTTAAACCAGGGGTGTCAAACTCAGTTCCAAAAGGGCCGAAGCCCTGCACAGTTTAGTTCCAACCCTGCTCCAACACACTTACCTGTAGGTTTCAAACAAGCCTGAAGGACTCAATTAGTTTGATCAGGTGTGTTTAATTAGGGTTGGAACTAAACTGTGCAGAGCTGCGGCCCTTTTGGTACTGAGTTTGACACCTGTGCCTTAGACCAAAACAGAGGCCTGTAACACCCTCACAGACCATGCGAAGATCTGAAAATCCCCCACAACTGTCTGAAACCCCCACACCACCACTTACAACAAGACCTCACACCCCAACCCCCACTACACATCCTAGAGTACATGAACTCATGACTGATAGTCAGCCTCCAAGGCAGAGAAGGAGAAGATCAAATACAACAGCTAACACTGAACAACAACTTTTGGACATTATAATGCAACCGACAACCTCTGCACCAACCAGGTTCCAGGACAGTATGACGAAATGTATTATTTTGCCCTGAGCTTAGTTCCAAAGCTAAATAGGCTGCTTCCTAGGAACCGCAACAGAGCACAAATCCACATTTTGAGTTACCTAGCTGAGATGGAATTAGAGGATGAAGCTCAGTGACAACAAGGAACAACTCACCCACTATTTTTAGTTACCCAGTACCCCCAAGGAGCAGGATTTCAGCCTTACCACCCCACAACTGCTGTTCAAGTACAACAAAGCCACCACCCACAGCAGGATCACACCCAGCAACAGCCAGCATTCTAATGTTTACCAAGAATTTTAATATTATAAATAATATTGTTTAATTGGATTTTTTAAAATAAAAAAACAGCTAAATATTATGTAAATAGTTTATTAGTTTAAATGTAAAAATATATATTACTAGTGATATTGTTCTTACTTGTTTTTATTTGTATTGTTCTAAAAACATTCTTTGCACAGTCTTACAAGTTGGATAATATTATTTTTTTATGCTTTGGTATTTTAAATAAATGTTTATTTTACATTATAAAGTGTAATGATGGCTTTATTTCATTTGTTATTAAAAGTTTGATCCAGATTACTTTTACATCGTAATTTCATGTACAAATACACTTTTACACCAAAATTTAAAACATATCAACAAAATTAAAACTATATCAACACACTGACATTCTTTTACAAGAATGTTGATCTTACCTCAGTGTAACAGCAAGACGTTTCTTGGGTTCGATGGGTCTCCTGTAATTTGTTGTTTGTCTTAAGAGATTCACCCCAATCAGTGTAAGAATGTGATCCATCTGCTCTGCGCTCATTTTGAAGTATTTTCGGTGGCGGTCACGATCCAGTTGCAATTCTGCCACAAGATGGTAATATGTACCATATTGTCTCCTTCGCTGGTTGACCAGGTGCACCCAAATTCTGCGTCGTAACCTCTCCTTTTTCTCAATCTCTTTAATAGCAAATACAAAGCAATTACCTTTTTTACCTTCTGTCAACAATACGCACTGCACATAAAACAAACATACGCTGTGTTAAAAACAAACAAACATTAAAATGATTAAAATAGTCTGATAATAAATTGATTACAAGTGAATTGTATTGGGAACTTACCCATTCTGCACAAAGGACGCTGCTCAGTTGCTCGCTGCAAACGCTTTCGGTGTAAAAGGACAATGGATGTGCGCAGCAAACGATTCACCTGCGTGCTGCTCACGCTCTGCTCACGCGTCGCTTACGCTTGGGGTGTGAAACAGGCGTAACGATTATGGAAAACCATTAGAGATAAATGATTATTCCATCATACCCCCCTTTCCAGTTGTACACTTTTGTTGCGTGCAAAGTTCACGTCCACGTGTAAATGACTAAAAGCATGTGCTGTAATGTAACTTTTGCAGCACGGGATGTGCATCATTCATTGATGTACATTCGAAGCGTTCATATTTTTTAAAAGCGCGAAAGAGCACATGCTGTTGTGTGTGCGTGCGCCGTACTTAGCCTTGGACAGGCTTGGAGATGAGCAGAGCACACACGTTTAACGCCATCGTAATGTGAGCGCTTTAATGGTCAAATACATGCACATTTGTGTCATAGCACGGCGTTTAGTGATTATTTATATTAACCCTCATTTATGTAATAAACAAACAAGTTGAGAATCAAAAGAAATGTGAAAGAGAAACAATTTGAGAGCCACAATATTCTTAAACTGACAGAGCGCAATATTCCTGCGGCCAATTGTGTTTATTAATTATTAATAATCAAACAAAAAAGGAGAAAATTCCTTTCTGCTCTTGACTGAAGGACTTTTGTAGCTAAAGTTTTTTTTTTCTTACAGTGAAAATGCTTATAGCACAGTTTAAACATGACAGATTCTAATTACTGATTTCTTTTATCTTTGCTATAATAACTGTCCATTATAATTTACTGAATATTTTTCAAGGTACTAGTATGCAGCTTAAAGTGACATTTAGAGGCTTAATTAGTGTAATTAGCAAGTCATTGTATTACAGTAGTTTCTTCTGCAGACAATCAAAAAAAAAAAAGAAAAAAAAATATATATAAACATCATTTGAAAAATATTTATATATATAAAAAAAATCACAGAAGGGTGAATAATTTTGAACTAATAATCATTTTGAATATTCGTAATTACAATTATGACCAAAATAATCGTGATTATGATTTTCCCATAATAGAGCAGCCCTGCAAGCTATACATGTTCCTTTTGTTGTTTAATATGTGTGTGTGTGTGTGTGTGTGTGTGTGTGTGTGTGTGTTGGTTGTCCAACAATTCCACATACTAAACATTTAGATACCATATGGATACTATACATTACTATTAAACATATCTACTATCATCAGATCATATGGGAGATTGTGATAATTTATAGTGATAATGATTGAAGCACAGAGGAAAAAGAAGTTTAAATATATATGTAGGAATTATAGACTTTGAAGTAAAGATTATTTGCAGTTCAGAATATAATTAAATTCTGTGTTACTTTGTAAATGGTAAGTCAATTTTACGTTTTGGGTGAACTATCCCCAAGGTTAGTTTTTGATTAAGAACATGTCTTAAACTATCATTTGTCCTTAATAAAGTAATAGATTACATAATAGTATGGTTGATGATGAACTGTTATGGACCCTTTTCACATTTCGTGGTTTCTCAGCAGCAAGTGCAGTGAATGGGAAAGTACAACACTTTTTTTAACAATTTTCTTTGCTTAAACAAAATAAAAACTTCACAAGGGTGTTATTTCGACATTTAGAAAAAAAAAGAAAAAAAATGTAAAAGCTGCAAGAGAGAATAACATCTAATTTACTGTCCTGCCCACAGACACTGTTTGAAACACCTCTCATTTGTAATTATATGCAAACATCTAGTACATAAGTAAATACAAATAAATGTTATTTATAAAAGATTAAATATTAAAACTCAAGGATGCTGATGACCGTTAAACGCATCATAACAGTATTGTGAAAAGGGTCAAATGGTTAAAATATAGGAATAAACATCAGATAGAAACAACCTTAAACAAATCTTTAAAAAAACGAAACAAACACTTCTATTATAATGTCATAAAAAAATTTTTTATTTACCTTGTGCTGCCATCCTTCTACTGCCATGGATAGGAAGTTCTGAGTTGAATCGATTCCTCTTCAACAGACCGATCAGTGTGACAAGTATCGCAGGAACAGCAGACAGCTGCGTATGCATTTTAATCCCTTTCGCAGTATTTTATCACTTTAGGTACACAGCAAAATATGGGAACCCAAAACAACTCTATGGGTGTTAATTTCAACACTTTGAAAGTGTCTCATGGGGTCCACTCAAAACAGAGTTAAATCAACACTTTCAAAAGGGTTGGCACATTGACACCGAAGTAAGGGTTAATTTTAACTCTGGGCAGAGTTAAAAAATTTAACTATATTTAACACCGCCTGGTGTAATATATAGTTATTTTATTCAACTCTCTTGAGTGTAAATATGGTAAAAAGGTCAAATAGACTGTAAATTACAAAAGAAAAAAAACATTTTATTTGAAAACATTCACCACTTCAACAATTCATTCAGTTTTTAAAATGCAACAATGTCAAATATGCTTTAAATGTTTTATTAGTACAGACAGTATCAACAAAATATGTATGACCAGTGCTCAAAAAGGCTGTTTCAGTCCTTTAGTCCAAACTTGATGTTTCATCAGAGCAATTTGAAAGTTCAATATAGCATCACTCATAGTTTTCTTCTGAACGCATAGTTTTCTTCTGAAATTACATTTTAAACAACTTGGCGTGCAAATCTTTCACTTCTGGTGTTTCCTTGGTCCTCCATATCAAACACAGCAGTTTAAATGAAGGTATAAATGCTGTAAACATGTGTGAAACCAAACTGGAGCTAGGAAATCTCATCAAGCATGTCCTGTGAATGAAGTGCTTCCCAGCCACAGGATGACCTTTTTATCCATGACGATGTAGTAGCTGCTGATCGCTCGTCTGGTGGTTCCTGATGCACGGATATAGGGTGATGCTCATCTAAGAACTCTTCAAGACTCCAGCATGACTAAGAAAAATGTTTAAAAACAAATTGCAATCAAATTCTATGATATATTTAAAAGAACATTTAAAGTAAATAAAACATTCAAGAAATCTAAACTCACCTTTTGAAAATCTTCATGATGATCCACAACTTGACTCTCCCAGCTGGTTGAGGTGACAGGATATGGAAAAGTAGAAAAAACACATACATCACTGTTGGATCTCCAAAAACAATTAGGTTGACCACTATGACTAGAACTGGAAAAACAGGCAGCTGTCTGTCCAGAATCCTCAATTTAACACAACACTTGGAGCAAAATTTAGAGGAGCTTAAAATCTTTTATATCATTTAGTGATGCTGACTTCCCCAAAATATTGGCCACAGTGTAAAAAATATTCATAAACTTACAGTTTTCTGTAAGCGTGTGCGTGTGTGTGTGTGTGTGTGTGTGTGTGTGTGTGTGTGCATGCGTGTTTCTTTACCAGTTAGGCCCTTTCAAGTCCAGTATTGATGCCACCTTTCCTGGAGTCTAGCAGATGTTTCAGGTCCAAATATAATCTAAAATATTAGGATAAGCAGAAGAGGAAACGTACAAAGCAAAGAGCAAAACATTATTTAAGTAATAGTTCACCCACAATACAAAACTTATCACCTTCATGCCATTTGTTATTCTCTAATGCTCTAATACCCTCTCAGCTTATTGTGAAACAAATACAGAACTTTATCAAACATACCTTCATTATTATCACCACATATGACCAAGAAGGTGTGCTTGGTCATTTCACCAACTCTGGAAATACACCATCCGTCTCTAATCAGCCACCATCACAAGGTCTTGTGTTATTGTATAGAGAACTGTGGCTGTTAAAAAACAACAAAACATTAGTATCTAACACATATGCATAACCTTCAGATAAAAAAAGAGAGATGAACATCACAAAGTATGCCTCACACTTTTTCAGATATCTTTTGATTCAGATGTTGATTATTGATAATAAATCTACAAATCAAACCTGTATCATCATTAGGCTGCTCAAATATGAATCAGTTGATTAATTTTACAGACAGGTGGCTGTTTACAACGCACTAAATTGTCTTTAATAAAACGGAAATGTTGTGTACAGTACATGCTAAGTTTAGCCTATAGTTTTAAGCACAGTATCATGCGGGAGAAAAAGCTTGACTAAGATGTTCCTGACTACAGAAATAGCCTAACTTACTAACGTCAGACATCCCGACTTGGGAAAAGTCATTTTCGGGGGATACAGAGTTGATTTGCGGGAGGTAGCGGGAGAGATGAGTACCTGAAGAGCGGTGGGGTGAGTTGCGCGCGACGTACCTTAAGAACGGTGGGGGTGACTTGCGCGCGACGTACCTGAAGAGCTGGGAGGGATGCGGTGGAGAGGGGTGTGCAAAGTGTTTAATGACCGGGCGGGAGACGCGCGATTTCCAGGAGATTATCACTCATTTGCGGGCATCTACTTGGGCATCTGAGAGTCTCTGTGCATTTGCAGGATAACGTTAACGTTAGTCCCGCAACTTCCGGGAGACTTCTGTAACGTTAAATGTCTGAGTGCAAACGCGGTCATTTAAAGACATTAATGTTAACATTCCGACTTTAATGGTTGTCAACACTTAATATAATTCAAGCGTACGTTATCACGCGAGTATATGGACTAACAGTATATGGACGTCCATGAATGAACCCGTTTAAAAGGGCCGCGGTGTTTAAAATAACCAAATTAATATACACGAATAACAAACAATCATATGTTTTAGTCAGGAAGCCTTTTACAAGTAAGCATATGTTCATTTACTCACCAGATATGTTTTAGAAACTCTCCAGAGCTTATGGAAACCGTCCTGTGTTGCCGTTAGCATCCGGGCAGAGTAAGGCTAACGTTAGGCTGCTCCGGGGATTCCCTCGCTAGTTTGCTTCGAATTAAAGAAGAAGTGTCGATTTTATTTTACAGATGGGTAACAACACACAAAATGGCATTAAGCGTGACAGAAATGTGTTGAATATGTACATTTGATGTTTTTATGCACTATGTATGCGTGAGCATATATAAAAACATTCTTGAAAAGAAGTGAATAGTAATGCAGTTAAGCTAGATACACAAACGACCATGAATGAACCGCAGAAGTTTAAAATTTGTCACTCCATTCTAAAGTTATTAACTTAACAATATGTTTACAACTGTATTTCCTTAAAGAAAGTCAGTAAAATACCAACATTTAGGTAGTTTGACTCACCAGTTGCTGTTCTAAACCTCAGATGGAAAATGGCGGCTGGAAAATTCTTCAGTGACTGGGGCTTCATGAATTCCCGGATGTTGGAAATAACACCACCAAGTGTTGAAAACTTAACTCCTTGATTTCGCACTGAATAAAATCAATTCTAACTCTTATTATATTCATTTATCAAAATATAACTCTTTAATGTCAACACTTTACTCTGAAATGCTTCAACACCGAGAATTTAACTCTGATGAATTTGCTGTGTACTGTAAACCCCTAATGATGTGTTGATTTAAACGAGTTGTGAATCAAGAAGCCTTTAATTATCTAAATCAGTGGTTCTCAAACTGTGGTACGTGTACCACTAGTGGTACGCAGGCTTCTTTCTAGTGGTACGCGGAGGAATGAAACATGTCATGTACATGCTACACACATTTAAAAATTTAGCAAAAATTATGTATATAATATTCCATAAATGACATATAGCCTATATTTCTGAGGTAATCTGACATATTTTATAACTGTGCAGAGTTGGAGCTGCTTTACTGGGCCTACTACACTACTGTATTTCAATACTGCTCATTTTGGGGGTACTTGGAGAGACTATTTTTTTCTGAGGTGGTACTTGATGAAAAAAGTTTGAGAACCACTGATCTAAATCAAACTGCAGTAGCACAAGGTTTTGCTCAGACTTTTGGGATGTTTGGATTTGGGATGTTTGGATCAGCCGTAAATCAACAAGATTAGCCGAGCGCAGGCGAGGGTGGAGTTGAAAACCTAGCCGTCAAGCCGGACACTTCAGGGCTCAAAGTTGCTGCAATCATGACCGATTACCTGGAGTGATCAACTATTTATTTATTTATTTATTTATTTATTGCAAAAACAACAACAGATTTTCAGTACAAATACAACAGAATACAGTCTCTACAAACTATAGTTCATTTTGAAAATAATAAAATTTAATTGATCAAATTTTATAAGCCTATATAACAAACACTTGAGAAATAAGGGGAAAATGAGAGGGCACATAAAAAGGAAATAAATATCCATGAACAGGATATTCTATATTTTGGAAAGTAAGATCATTTTTAAAAAAGCACTTTAATCAAAAACAAAAGGACCAAAATAAATGAGCTACACTAAGTAGAAATTTCCCTGAAAGAGCAGGTACATCAATGTAACATTTCAGCATAAACGGCTTGAAAAGAATTAAAATATTTTAGAATCATATATTTGATGAAATATTATTTTAACTTACATTTTTTCTGATCGCTGAAGCACATTGTTTGTACCTATTGGCTATTTTTGCAAAACTCTACACACCAATAATAAAACCTTTAACCAAATCTGCAAAACATTTTAGTTCTCTTGCAAAAGCTAATAAACCTTGCTTAACTCATCAAACCTTCCTAAAAATTGTAATTTCGTATCAAAAATCTGACTACATCGTGTCATCTCTCTGGGTCCAGCCACAAAATTACATCTACATCACATGCAATGTCCTCTAGTCCAAGGCACTGGGGAAAAAATTTATTTTGGAATGCCGTACACAGACCTGACATGTTGCCTGGTCAATGTCCCTACATGCCTTCTCCATTCCCTGTAAAAGGGCTATGCAGTGATGGGGATGACGGTCATAGACCTTCCAGTGCCAGGCAGAGAAGAACTCTTCAATTGGATTCAAGAAAGGAGAGTATGAGTGGAGGTTGAGTACAGTGAAGAGTTATCTGTAAACCAGTTGCGGACCAAAGCAGCCCTATGAAAACTAACTGTTAACTCTGAGAACTTGCATTAAACTGCTAGAGAAGCAGGGTTCAAACTAAACAGTGTTTATTAACAGCAGGCACAAGAGACACACAGCAGCTTCACTTAGTATTGACGCACATACATACTGAATGACTGCGTGAGTGAGAGCCAGGTAGAAGGGGAGATGCTACACAGAACACTACAAATCCCATATACACACTGTCATAAGGATCAATGCACTACACTAACATTGTTTCATATAATGATGTATCTGGTCTGCTCTGGTCCATGAACATCGAGGAGCATGTTATAAAAGGTGTCCAGGAATTCAATAATGTCTGCAGTTTTATAAGGGCTTATTTATAGTGCTTGGGCTGATTGCAAAGTGAACTAATTATCCAAAACAGTTTTCACATGTGACAGTGTGCCAGAATAATAATAGCCATACATGTGTATAGTTTTGCTAGGAGTGTTTTGATCATTTAGAAATTTAGTTTAAAGCAGTGAGTTGTGTTTACAGTTGTGTGTACCTACAATTTTTCAAAGTGTGTTACAAAATTGCAAACTGAGTGCAGAGCAATGTTTTTGCTTTTAATTTTGCAAACTCAGTGAGTGGTTTTGCTACAAGAATTAATAATTTTAGAAATTGTGCTATAAGAATCTCGGTTAGCTTTCAGAAAAAAAGGAATTTGTTGAGAAACCTTAATAGGGGTGTCAGGACTAATGATGATAATTATTTTATTACACATCTCTAAGACTTTTTTGAGTTAAAATTTAGGTTATTTACTACAATATATCATTTAAATCATTTAGGGAACTGAATAAAGTAAATAGTCTGTATAAAACAGGTTGAAAATAATTATATGCAAACAAGCTAGCATTTATAACCAGATTGTTTAACAAAAGATGATACTGCAGTAAAATATTTGTAGTATTTTAATAAGCATGATGTGTACAAGATAGAGATGGTATAAAAAGTTAATTGTTTGTTTTGAAATTTGTGAGATGAAATTTTTCCAATAATAAACCCGAAACACTCATGGTTGTTGTCATGCGGTAAATCCAGCCAATCGTATAATATTGGTGACATCATCGCAGCCCCAGCAGTCGCTCCTCAGATGCTGTGCTGGCTGATTCAATCGTCTGATCTCGGAGTGCTGTTGCAGGACTTTGATGCCACATATGTGTCAGTCACGTGGCCTTTGGCAAGCATCAATGTGGACAAAGTTTCTAACCAGCATGCACCACTTTAAGGCAGATTTCGACCGATCTGTGCAGCGCTGCATAAAGTAGAACACACCTATTCTCATTCCAGACAGACTGGTTGATGATCAGATCAGATTCAGAATGCAGAAGTCTTCATAGCAACATGGACACCTCCGAATGGCGTTAAAGGTGTCACATACTGTATTTATAAAGTAGAAATCACCCAAAAATATATATAATTTATGTTTTTATGTAATGATGTATTCGCAGCTGCGAAATCACACGTGACCTGACCGCAAGGTGTTTGTTTACTACTAAGAGGACTTGCGCATGGCCACCAAAGCCTACTTTAGTGAACAGAACCTGCATAGGCTTTAAATAACAGGTAATAAAGTTGTAAATAAAATTTAGTTTGTAGCACAAATTGTTTAAGAGCTGCGAGGGAAGTATGATTTGCAATTGTGTTTGTTTTTTCTCACAGTTTCTCACCATGAGCCGCTCTCAGAAGTGAAAGTGAAACCTGTGCTGAAATCATTTAAATGATCATATCACATTTTAGAATTATTATTAAGATAAGC